AGGGTCGAGGGGTTTGGGGTTTAGGGGTTTGGGGTTTGGGGTGTAGGGTTTAGGGTTTAGGGTTTAGGGTTTGGGGTGGGTTTGGGGTTTGGGGTCTGGGGTTTGGGGTTTGGGGTTTGGGGTTTGGGGGTTTGGGGGTTTAGGGTCTAGGGTCTAGGGTCTAGGGTCTAGGGTCTAGGGTCTAGGGTCTAGGGTCTAGGGTAAAGGGTCTAGGGTCTAGGGTCTAGGGTCTAGGGCTTTGGGTTTAGAGTTTGGGGTAGGGTGTGCTCGGAACAGGCTTCTGCGACTTTGGGCAGTGGCGATCATGTGCTGCACCACTGTACCGTCTTGACTGACTGACTGTCTGTTGACTGTCAGCCTGCCTGCCTCACTTTCAAATTTACTCACTCACTCAGTCACTCACCATCTATCTATCTAGCTAACTGGCTAACTCACTGACTGACTGACTGACTGGCTAGGAAACTAACGAACGAACGAGCGAACGAACGAACGAACTAAGTGACGGACCCACCAACCGGCCAGCCAGCCAGCCAGCCAGCCAACTCAGCCAACTCAGCCAACCAACCAACCAACCAACGTACGGCACATGTATCTGGGCGTCTTAAGCATGTATATGTGCACACTTTACATGTCTACGTAATTACTTCTCCGTTTTGTGTATCTGTTTGCTTTGTCGCTCTTTCTACATAGGTGTATAGTAGTCTAGCTCTTTGCTTATGTGATTGGCTGGTATGCAGATACGTTTAGTCATACAGACAGACAGCCCGGCCAGGCAGGCACACACACAGACAGAGAGACAGAGATAGAGCCTGCATGCATACATATGGGTAGTTTTCTAAATTAGGGTCCCTTTTAGGATCTGTTTTGTAAGGGTGCCGTACTATATTGGGGACCTACAAGGGGGCCCTAACTTAGAGAACTACCCATATAGAGCCTGCATGCTTTGCATAGCCAAACCCTGAACCCCTCAACCCTCAACCCTCAACCCTAAACACCCTCAACCCTAAACCCTAAACCCTAAACCGTAAACCCTAAACCCTAAACCCCTAAACCCCTAAGCGCAGGAGCCAGGGGTCTCACCTGCAGCCGCTGATCACGGGCGGTGGGAGCCAAGGCCGCGAGCGCCTCTCTGGCAGATTCCGTGTTTTTGGGTTTAGGGTTTAGGGTTTAGGGTTTAGGGTTTAGGGTCTAGGGTTTAGGGTTCAGGGTTTAGGGCTCAGGGGTTCAGGGTTTAGGAATAAGGGTTTCATAAGGGCTCTACGAGGTTCTTATGAGAGCACTTTTGGAATAAGGGTTTCATAAGGGGCTCTGTAAGGTTCTTGTGAGAATTGAAGATCCTTTCTAACGATCTTGTGAGAGTTCCATGCCCATGGCCCCTAAACCCTAAACCTAAGCTACAGGAGCGTGGGGTTCTCAGGGCTTCCCTTTCCAAACCATACTTAACAACACGGCCCCAAATGCTGACCTGTGAATTCTAGGGTTGGCCAGAAGCCAAAAGCTCTTCAAAAGCCATCATACACGGGCCGTGTCACTAGCAGCAATTAGGACAGGATGTTGGGGGACATTTTAGTATTCTTACAGCATGTTCACAATAGGAACCTTCTTTATTCGACGTCACCATGAGGGATGGATGAGTCGTAAATCTCCGCCTTGTTCCGTCATGATGGGAATGATTGGGAGAGCTAGCCACAAATGCAGCAAACCAGGCTAGAGTCTTGTGTCCCCAAATTCTCAACAACCACAGGGTTTAGGGCTTCAGGGCTTTCTGGGTTTAGGGCTTTTCATTTTCGGGTCGTAGGACGTTTGGGGGCTAGGGCTTAGGGTTTCTAGGGCTGGGGGCTTAGAGCACCGCAACAGAGAAGTCTACAAGACATTCAGGCTAGACTCACCCAGACCTTCCAATATCCATTAATTAAGGGCTATACCTTAAACCATATTAGCGGCCCCACCATAGTTTAAGCTATATTCCTTAATTTAAGGGACACTGCAAGGCCTGGGAAACGCGGTAAGGGCTTTTTGACATGCCACAATCAGCCTCTGCGGATTACCTACCGACTAAGCAAACCAGGCAACGAACTGTAGTAATTGCCTACCCGAAAATCCCAGGCTTCAGCTGAACCGGGGCCAACCTCCAGCAATTGCGGTACCCCTTCGGATCGACCACAAAAAGCTCTCAAGACCCGAGACCTCAACCCTCAACCCTCAACCCTAAACCCTAAACCGCACAAGCCCTAAGACAGCGGCCTCAATAATCAGACAAGGGTGTTGGGGTCTACTAGAGTCTATCCTATGACTACAAGCGGACTATCCGGGGATACTATTCGAGCTATCCCGACCAGTATAGTCACCTTTTCGCGGCAGCTCTAACCTAAACCCTAAACCCTAAACCCTAAACCCTAACCGTCTTGTGTTAACTGGATCCCTTTGGGGGGCCTCATCTGCCTCGACAGCCTCAGCAGCTCCTTCCCAGAGGGCGGGTTCGGATGCGGGCCGTTAACATATTGGGAGTTTCCGAAAACAAGGGGTCCTTATTTTAGGGTTTTTATAATAAGGATCCTACTATTTACGGTGCTATATTAGGGTCCCCCATATCAGGGTTTAGCAAAGTTGAGGACATACTGGGCCGGGGCCTTCTGGCGATGTTGTGGGGGGACCATGCATGCCTGCAGCTAGGCGGTTTTGGGTTCAAGGTGGGGGGGGCTCTTAGGGCTTGAGGTTTGGGGCTCAGGGTTCAGGATCGAGAGGTCTGATGCATGCCGGGCCTCCATGAATCTTGACGACATGATCATCTTAGGCCAGTCGGTATGTTGACGATGGCTGATCTCTTGCAGAGAAGTGGTATGTCTGCGGCATTTGGGGTCAGGTGGATGCAGTCGTCAAGCCACCTAGCTCGTGCAGAGCAACAAACACTTACTTACTTGTAGGGAACATGGATGCACACAGCCGCAGGTTTAGGTTAGGGTTTCGGTGGAGGGGTGGGTGATGATGGATTCATGAAAGGACGTCATCCAAAAGATGTTGCGAGCTGCGAAGTCTCTGAACACGCACCCCATAGAGACTTCCACAAACCCTAAACCCTAAACCCTAAACCCTAAACCCTAAACCCTAAACCCTAAACCCCAACCCTGCGAGCCCTAAGCTTCCCGGAAGCCCGAAAATGCCGAACTCCTTGCCTCTCCGCCAAAACCCTTACACATGAAACCCTATACCGAACCGTAACACGTAAACCCTAAACCCTAAACTCTAGACTCCAGACCCTAGGACCCTAA